GGTGCCGTGGCCTGTAATCCCAGTGGCTCAGGAGGCTGAGGCAGGAGGATGGCAAATTCTAAGCCAGCCTGGACAATTAGTGAGATGCAATCTTGAAAAAATAAGGGCCAGGGATGTGGCCCAGTGGTAGAGCTCCCCTGGGTTAAACCCCCAGGACCACAAAAAACAAATGCAGAAACTTAGAGTCCAGGCTTCTTCCTAGAGTGAAGGGCCGCCATCAGCTGGAGTGGGAGGTTCAGGGACTCCAATGTGGGCCTCACCTAGCCCCCTCCCCTCATCTTACAGGTAAGGACACTGGAGGCCCGGAAAAGGAGAGTCACAAGCAAGGACTCAGCCCTGCCCAGCAGCCTTCCCACAGCAGAAGTTATCTGGAGCTGGAAGGGGGTCAGGGAGCATCTGGCCCCGGTGTGGGTGTGGGGCAGGGACGTGCCTGCTAGGTGCCCCTCAGACTCGGAGCCTCCAGGCCCCCTGTGTAAGGGGGAAATAGGCGTGTGGCCTATTTCATAGGACTGAAGACTGGACAAGCTAATAGGTATGTTGCAAGTGCCTCATTAAGTTGCCATTATCATAAACAGCACAGTGAGGCCCCGGATTATTTCAACGGCTGGAGGACGTGCCTTTGAGCTCTGGCCTGGCCCTCTCTTGTTCTGAGTGTTCTAAGGCCAACATGGTCTAGCACAGTATCCAGCAATGGGCACTGCCCTCACTTGTCTTTCTTTCTTGCATCTGACCCCTGCAGATGAGTCTGGCGTTAAACAAAGAATTGGGGCTCTGGAGCCAGACACTGCATGGATCAAATCCAGTCTCCACTGCTGTGGGACCTGGGGCAAATTTTTTAACCTCTCTAAAGAGCTGTTTCTTTGTAAAAGGAGGATAGAATAGTACTTCCCCATAGAGATTTTAGAAGGATTAAATGAGATAATGCATAGTTCCTGATGCAGGGTAAGTGCTCAGTAACTGTGACTTATAATTGCTATCATTGATTTTTTTGGCAGGTACCAGGGATTGATCTCAGGGGCACTCGCCCACTGAGCCACATCCCCAGCCCCATTTTGTATTTTATGTAGAGACAGGGTCTCACTGAGTTGCTTAGTGCCTCATTTTTCTGAGGCTGGGTTTGAACTCATGATCCTCCTGTCTCAGCCTCCTGAGCTTGCTGGGATTACAGGTGTGCACCATGACCCCTGGCACTAGCACTGATTTTTGATACAGCAGAAATCGTGGCTTCCCTGAATCCAACGTCTCCTGTGATCAGCAGCAGGATATTCCTTGCTATGGCTCCTACTTCAGAATGGGGGAAGGCAATCATCTTGCCAGGCTGGGTTAAGGGTGGGCTTATGTCAAAGAAACGCTAAATCAGCCTTGAAGTTTCATTGTGCACATAAATTAGCACAAAAATGAAATACTGGGACATGCATTCACAGTGAGTTGCCACGTAAATGGTCTAACTCTCTTAGAAAGTAGTTCTTGGCCAGAGCCATAAAAAAAAAAAAAAAAAAAATCACACACCTATAATCGGAGGCTGAAAAGCTACTTTGGAGGCTGAGGCAGGAGGATCGAAAGTTTGACGCCAGGGCTGGGGATATAGGTCAGTTGGTTGAGTGCTTGCCTCGCATGTACAAGGCCCTGGGTTCAATCCCCAGCCCCACAAAGGAAAAAAAGAAAAAAGAAAGGGACTGGGGATGTAGCTCAGTGGTGAGCACCTGCCTAGTGCCTGTGAGGTCCTGGGTTCCAACCCCAGGATCAAAGCCAATGTCTTCTGACCCAGTAATGAGACTCCTGGGAATTCAGTGAGAGAAATGATTCAACAGACTTAAAAAGGAAACAACTATGCATCAAGTTGATGTGACAATGAGAATCTAGAAGAAAAGCAAGTAGACACAGCCCATGGCAACAGCCCAGCAACAGGAGCTGGTCAAGTGACCGAGGAGAGAAAGAGCTGGAAGGTGAGTCCCAGGGAACTGTCAGTCATTAACATGTTAATTGCACAGCAGCTCACTGCGAATGTTTGGGACTTAGGGGGGCTGCAGAAGGGGAGAAAATGGAATTAAATAAAATCCCCCCAAACCTTTGACTTTTTTTTTCAATGAACAACAATAAATAAATACATGTGTACATAATACATAAAAAGATGGTTTCGCCTGAGTTTTCGAATGCGGCTGCCACCTGAGGTCTATGGGGAGAAGGTTCTAGTCGCGTGTGGCTGGGAGGGGAGAGGGAGTCCAAGAGGCATGGGTGATGGTGGGCAGGGACGGCATGGTGTGGAGTGGGCATGATTGGGGAGGCCTCCGGGAGGAGGTGACCTCAGGACGGACTCTTAGATGGGGAGCAGGAAGTGCTGGGGTGACCCAGGCAGAGGTAGGAAGAGCTGGAGGTAAGGCTGGAAGCACAGCCGAGCCCCAAACTGCAGCCTGGAGTCTGCACCCCAGGGGAGCCCCTCTAGCGACATAAGGGGGACCCCTGGGGCTGCCTGGAGAAGGGGGGACCTGGAGGTGGGACACCAGCAAAGAGGCTGCTGCTGCAAGGTGCACGGGAGATGAGTCCAGAGCGAGAAGGCCCTCGGAGCAGGGAGAACAGGGGCGGTCAGGAGGGGGAGGCCAGGGGCAGGAGCTCAGGTGGTGTCCACACCCCCGGGTCTGGAGCTGGGAAGGAAGTTGGGGCCAGAACTGAGATTTGGTTTGGCCCATTGTGGAAAGGGTGCTGGAAGCTTCCAGATGTGGCTGGGTTCACGCAGGGAAAGGGACAGGCCAGCCAAGAGGGGCACACACCACACAGGAGGTGGACCCTGCCAGGAGACAGGAGCCGGGCAGAGCAGGCAGAGGGCAGGGGGAGAGGCAGATGTCAGGCCCAGCAAGAAAAGGAAAGTCTCTATGCTGCTTATCAACTCTGGGGACATTAGCAAGAGCACTTTCAGGACATTGGTGGCAGGGAGGTAGACCCTGAAAAATCTGGGGGCTTCCTGAAGATACTGAATGGGAAGAGAAGTGAGAAATGAGACGCTGGCTTCATGGTCCCACCTGAGAGCCGGAGCCTGGCCCCATATCCATGGGCTCCAGACTGCGGCCCCTGCCAAAGGCCCCCCGAGACTGGCTGTGGCCCCCGCCGGGCTCAGAAGACAGCCCCAGCGGCCGGGCGGCCACCCGCCTTTCTTTCTTCCTGTCCACCACACAGAAAAAATGAGAAGGTGTATGTGGGGAAGCCGGGCCCCCTGCCTGGAAGGCCAACCTGCGCCAGATCCCAGCCGCCAGGATCCCCCGGCCTCAGTGGGTTCTCCCGAGGGGAGCCCACCCCTGCCAAGAGCTGCGGGTGCTGGGGAACAGATCCAGGCCAGCCCAGCCTGCCAGCCCACACATGGGAGGAGATGCCCGTGCCATCTGGGCATGGGGGTGGGGGCAAAGAGAGGCCAAAGGACGTTGACTGGACATTAATTATTTAACATGAATAAAATCTGTTTTCCTAAAAGAAGAGTTTGTTTCCATTTTTATTTTTGGTAGCTTTTTTAAAATTGATAATATTATAGCACAATGATCAGAATAGCAATCACTCAAATTGCCTGAGCGTGCCTCTGTGCCAGAAAGGGTTCTGGGTCCTTTCACATTCGGTAGACTCACTCAATCCTCCGCCACCTGGTGGGGCACATGCTACTGTTATGCCCATTTCACAGGTGAAGAAACCAAGGCTCCCTTCGCTTTGGAGTTTAAGCTTATCCCTGGTAATTTCCTTGCACTGCCCAGGTGAGTCAGGGGAGAGGTACTGGACTGGCTTTCCTCCCTCTCTTCTCCTCCCTTGAGGAGGTTTTTGAGCTGGGTTTTCCCACCTGTAAGGGGATCAGAGGGCGGCTGCAGTGCTGTGAGCCATGACTCTGACACCCTGGGGTGGGTACTGCCCTTAGCCGGCTAGAGGACTGCTGGTCAGGGGCATCGCCAACCCTCTGGTGGGCATCCCCTGTGCTGCTTGCCCTGGGATTTCACTGAAGGAGCTTGGGGGCCCCACATTTACTTCCTTCCCCTCTCCGTCCTCGCCTGGCCTGGTGGCACTCAGAATGGAAAGAGGAGGTGCTGTAACCTTCTCCCCCTTTTCCACAAGGCTACCCCATTCCTGTGGTCCACCTCCATGCCTGGGGATGGCCAGGGTCTTCCTTCTGTTTGTTCGGCCCTGTTTAATTGTCTGACCTCCACTTCTGGAGACCACAAATTTGTTCTTACAGGAAGGAAGGAGGTCGCAGGACTCCACAGGAGAAGTGACTGGCCCAGGATCACACCCAACAGAAGCAGGCTGCTGCCTCTGACCACCCATGCCTGACCCAGAACTTGAGCCGGGAAAATCTGGAAAAGGTGAGGGTTAGGAGGAGGAGGAGGAGGGTGGGTCCCCCATCGCCATCCATTCCCCACCCAATAGCTGTGGCCTTCCAAGTATCTGAGGCTGGACCTGGCCTCTGAGCTGCTTCCATCAGGTCCACAGCCCCAGCCCATTCAAGAGGGAGAGAGGGTGAGGGGCACCCAGGTTTGTCTTATGGGCACTCTGTTCTCGGCTCGTTGGCATGCGGGGAGAACTCTGAGTCTTGGACAGTGCCTCTTCTCACCTGACTGAGGAGTGGGACTGGAGCTGTTTGGGGGTTCGTGGGGAAGGAAACGGACATTTAATGAGATCTTCATACGTGCCAAGCATTTCCACACACGTTCAATTTCCACTACAAGGGGACGCCGTTATACCCATTTTACAGTCGCGGAAACTGAGACTCAGGGAGGTGCATGGAGAGAAAAGGGATCAGGACTGAGCCTTTCTGGGGCGCTCCAGGTGCGGCTGTCACCGTTCCAGACACCTGCTTGCTCCTGACAGCAACCCTCCCGCCTCGCCCGCAAGGAAAGATCCTCCCGGTTACACAGACAGGAGACCCGAGGCTCGGAGATCCGCGGGTGTGGCGCGGGCATCGGGCGCCCTTGCACGCGGGCGGCGGCCCCTCCCACCCCGGCGGCTCCCCGACGGCGCGCGACGCTCACCTCGATGCGGTCTATGCGGTCCCGGAGGGCGCGCACGGCGTCCTCCAGCTCCAGGATGAGCGCGGGCGAGTCCCAGGCCCCATCGGCCATGGTGTCGCGGCGGGGCCCGGCGTCCTGGAGGCCGCGCGGCAGGCCGCTCTCGCAGCGGCCCAGCTTGCCGGTGAGCTCGCGGATGGTGTCCTGGTCCGCGCGGATGCGCGCCTCCTGCTGCAGCGCCGTCTGGCGCAGCTGTTCCGCCGTGCTCTGCAGCAGCAGCAGCTCTTCGCGCTCGCCCGGCGCCGCGCCCGCCGCGTCCCCTTGCTCGGTCCCCGACGGGCAGGCGGCCGCCAGCGGCGTGCACAGGAAGCGGCTGAAGAGCGGCCCGGGTGGCAGCGGGTAGGCGCTGGCCGCCGGCGCCCCGGGCAGCGCCGAGGGCCCGGCCGAGGCGCTCGCGCCGTGCAGCGCGCTCAGGCTGCGCTGCGGGCCCGGGGACGCGGCGGCGCCCGCGGCGGCCGAGGCGTTGTCGGTGCCGCCGGGCAGCGCCCGTGCGGGGCTGGCCGCCAGGGGCACGCTGGCGATGATGCAGATGACGGCACCGAGGAACGCCAGCATGCCCGCGGCCAGCAGCACGGCCAGGAACTTCAGCGTGAGGCGGGCGGCGGGGGCGCCCGAGGCCCCCGGCAGGCGCGGCGGCGGGGTCGGGGCGCGGGGCCCGGGAGCGCAGGGCCGATCGGGAGCGGGAGCCGGAGCTGTCGCCGCGGCCGCTGCTGCCGCCGCTCTGAGCCCGAGCGGCGGGAGGCGGAGAAGGCGGCGGGCGGCGGGGAGGGAGCGGGCGCCGCGGCCCCGCCCCACTCGCTCCCCCGGCGGCCCTGGCCCAGCCCCGCACCCGTTCTGTGCCGGGCGCCCAGGTGCGGTCGCCCGAGGATGCCGCGTGGGCCGGGGCCGCGCCCAGGACTTTTATGTCACCGCCGGCGCGGCGCAGAGGGCGGAGACCCCTTGGTCGCGCGGCGGGATCCTGGGCGACCCCCAGCCCTCCCCTCGCGCCCTCTGGCCTCACCCGGGTACCCGTAATGCCGACAGCCACCTTGCAGCGAGCTTTCCTCCTGTGCAGCTCTGTGCTGAGCGCCCTACAAGCCGGGTCTCAATTAAGTCTCGCTGGGGACAGGCGCACAATACAAATGAGGAAACTGAGGCCCACTGTGGTCAAGGCGCTGGCCAAGGTCGCACAGCCAGTATGAGTTGGAGCAGCATTTGTGCCTCGTTTCTTCCGACTGGACCAGACTATTGTATAAAGCTGGGGTGGGAGATGGAGAGGATGAGAGAGGCCAGTGTTGGGTGGGGTGGGGGTGTTGACCGAACCACTGTTTGTACCATGGCCACTTACCTGTGGCCTGCCACCTCTAATCTCCTAAAGGAGTTCACTTCCCTCCACCCCCATTAATAAGTATTTCTGTGATCTCAGGGGATAGCAGAAACCCCCTCCTCTGAATCCTGCCTGTGCCCCCCACCCATCACAGTCTACAGTAGGGCAGGAGAACGGGGCAGGGAAGGAACAAGCAGCAATGGGATTAGCCAGTGTGTGGGGCAACTTGAGGTGAGCTGGGGAAGCATCTTACTTCATCCTGTCAAAAATGTCTAAATATATGCTGGAGAAAATTAACTTTGCAATTAAAAACTTAAAAAAAAAAATGCTACCATCCTTCTCACTCCAGCTCCAGCTGCATTTTTGCACAAATCCTCCCCTGACCAGTGCGGCATTGGAAGGATGTGGAAGTCTCCGGGGCAGCCTGAGGCTCACTCCCCAGCCCCAGGCCCGACTCCTTCCAGGCCTGCATTCCCGACTTGAAGGGAAGCCCACATCAGGGTCGCGGGGTCACCAGGGCTGCACTGTAGTCTTGACTGGTGTCTGCATAGTGCTGGGGGTGAGGGGTCACCAGAACATCTCTGAGGAGGCAGCAGTCCTGCAGGATTCTGTCTGGCCACTGGGGTCCTGTCCAGGAGTCCTTGGGCATGTGCTCCATCTAGCTCCTCCCCGCCATGGGGATGATGTCCTCCCTGCCCACCCCTTCTCTGGGAGTCACAGACTCTTGTCCAGATCTGAGCCTTCACCTGGGGGCAAGGCGCGTGCAAGCTCTAGCTCCAGCCAGAACCAGAGCCGAGTGTGCATGGGTGTGAGCTGGTGCTCACTGAAGCGGTGACCTGAAAACCCAGCCCAGCAGCGCAGCTGGGAGGTAGCATCTCCAGACAGAGGTGACTGGGCTCTGTGGAGGCAGGGGCAGGTGGCAGGGCCCCCTAAAGCCCTGGAGACTTATGAAGCATTCGGACCCTGGGTGCATCTTCACGCGTCCTGTGAAGACAGACACATACAGACAACATCCCCAGGAGAAACTGTCGTGGGAGTTTGAGGGAAGGACAGGGGAGGCCATGACAGGGAGCCGCTGCAGGAACAGCAGAGCCACGGTGACTTGGGCGTCACATGGTACCACCTTTACGTAAGCTGCCCTGAGAGAGTTTGGGGCAATTGGATAAGTGGGTCCCAGGGCTGGAGGTGAATCTTATTTCAACCTGCGTGTTCACCCCTTAGCATGGGTTTTAAACTTGTGATAGGAACATGTCACTCTGCTGCTTAAAAACCTGTGAGGGGCTTCCATCCTTGTTCTGGATCATCATTTCAAGGCTGGTGAGCAGCCGTGGAAAACCGAGGAAGTATCTCCCTCTGGACCCGAGAGCAGGTACCATGTTCCCTGATCAGAGTAATAAAGTTCGTGTCTCTGGGCTAAAAGTAGGGCAGGAGAGCTCACAGCCTCTCCTAGAAGATTGGAGATGCCTAAACCCATGGTTGCTTGGCTGTGACTCAGACTGGTGATGTGAGCAGCACCTACCTAGGGGTGGCCTGTGTCCCCTGGGGATATTCATGCTGCCTGAGTAACAAAGTCTTTTGTCTCTGACCCAGGGTTGTCTCCAGTCTTCTGCCAGCATCAGCAGCCACGGTAACTTGCAGGTAAGATCAGATCTCAGGCCTTTCCCAGTTCTTGACACACTCTCTGTGCCTCAGTGTTTTGATCTCTAAGATGGGAATCATGGGAGTCCAAGGGCAGCCTTGGGTAAATATCTTATGGGGGGGCTGGGGATGTGGCTCAAGCAGTAGCGCGCTCACCTGGCATGCCTGCGGCCCGGGTTGGATCCTCAGCACCACATACAGACAAAGATGTTGTGTCCGCCCAATACTAAAAAATAAATATTAAAAAAAAATCTTATGGTGTTAGCTTCTGGGATTGCAAGATGGTTGGTAATCAGAACACCCTCCTCTTCCAGCCCATCTCCAGTCCCTCTACCTGCAGCAATACCACCTGTGTCAATGCCCCCAGGCCACCAGACTGCTCCTCCCTGCCTTTGCTCATGTGACCCCCCCCCAGCCTGGAATTTCACACCTCCTGGATTCTTCTCCAGCCCCAGCTGGAGCCTCCCAGTTTCCTCTAGATGAATTCTGGCTGGACTGGCTCCCCCCAGGCAGTGCTGCTGCTGGGGACACCATGGGGAGGTGTCCTCAGTGAGGACACTGAGGTCTGGGAGCCTGTTTCTCCGGGGCTTTTTGTTGGACCTTCCTCAATCCTAACCTAGAATTCTTCAAAGCCTGGTCAGAATTCTCAGGGAACCCTCCATAAGGCTGGGATCATTCCCACACTTTCCTTCTTAACTCCTGTCTCCTGAGTTTTCGGTTTCTTTATTTTCATTCCGTTCTTAGGGCGAGAGAATTCTTTTGTAAATAACAAATATAGTCATTCATTTAAAAAATAAAAAAGTTTTCCATCATCCTTGTGACGCATATGCCCGGCAGTGGGGTGGGACCAGAAATCTCAGAGTTCATATTCTAGTGGGAGGCGGACAGTAAACAAATGAATAATTAAATAAGCAAGTCAATTTACAATAGTGGTGAGAACTACAAAGAGAAATTTTAAAGTGATGTGATAGTTATAGGACGCCTGGGACTTGGGAAGTTGGGAGATGGACGTCATTCATAGTTTTCAGAGAAGGCCTGCACTTGCGCTGAGACCTGAATGACCTAAGAAACCAGCCATGCAGAAATCTGGAGAAAGATGGAGTGTTCTAAGCAGAGGGAGCAACTAGTGCAAAGGCCCTGGGGCAGAAATGAGCTTGGTGTGTTCCTAGAACAGAAAGAAGGCCAGTGGGGCTGGGCAGAGTGAGTACCACCTGAGAGCAGAGGCTGGGGAAGGAGGTAGAGCCAGGGCTTTCCCACCTGGGGGCGGGGAATGGGTTTGATTCCAAGTCCAACTGGAGGGACTCAAGTGTGGAAGTGATATCACAAGGTCTGTGGTTTTTAAAAAATTCCTTTGATCCTTGTGTGGAGACTGGGTCACAAAAGGATGGGAGAGGAAACAGGGAGATTGGTTGGAGCCCTGGGGCCCTTGAAGCCCTGACGCTGAAGATCAGGATGGACTGTAGATTTATTTAGCGATAACCTTCGTCAGTTGGGTCTTCCAGAAACAGGCACCGAGATGGCGTTAGATGTGCGAGTGATTTATTGGTTTGAGTATTGTGTGTCCTCCAAGGTCTGTGTGTAAAGGGTTGGTCCCCAGTGCTAAGTGTTATCAAGTTTTCAGTGTTGTCCTGGGGGGCATGCCCTCAAGGGGATTGTGGGGCTCTGGTCTCTCTCTGCTCTGTTCTGAGTTGTGACCATTTGCTCCTACCCATACTCCTCCCATGATTTGCCGCCATCCACTGCCTTCTCCAGAAGCCAAACCAATATCCCTTCCCACCATGTGATCTTGGAAACCTCCCAAACTATTAGCTAAGTACACCTTTTTTTTTTTCTTTATAAGCTGGGGGCCTCAGGCATTTCCTTATAGCAATGGTGTTATGTGAAGGATAAAAGGGGAAGAGGCAGAAGGAGGCAGGAAGAGCCTCAGACCTCAATGCAAATCTGGCAAAGTCTTGGCCAACCCAGTAGTGAGCTCCTGGACCAAGTCAGTCATTGGCTGTGAACTGCTCCAGAAGGGCGTGGCTTTAGCTCAAAATGTGGGGTGCATCATGAAGTTGGAGGTGTCTGCTCACCACACCGCAGGCAACTGAGCAGCAAATGTGTTCTTGAAGGGAGTGCAGAGTGCGCCCCCTACAGGGCCACCGTCTACCCCTGCACTCTCAAGACCTGCTTCTCCATGTGGAGGAAGGGAGCATTTCCTCATGGTCCCAGGGGGCCCCTGCTCTGGAGGAGACACTTGGAAGTGGGGTGAACGGAGCTCCCACTGCTGCTCTGGGCTCTGGCATGAGCAGTGCTCCCTGCCTGCTTCCTCCCCCAGCCGCCATCTGGTCTTGCCCTCCACCATGGCCTCCACTGACCAACAGGGGGAAGGATAGTCTCTCATTCCCTGGGTCCAGTCACATCCGTGGGAAGGCATCTGCTTAGTAAGTGCTCACTAAACTGAGATTAATTGTAACAAGGTGGGGGTGTGGAGAAAGCAGGACTGGGCAGGGAAATATCACCAGGTGATTTCTAAAAGATGGAGGTTGGGTAACACCTCGGCGGTCACCAGCTTCCGATTAGATAACTCGTCATCTCTGCCACAAGCAAGGGTAGAGCTAGAACCTGAACATGGCGCTCAAGGTGACCAACTTGGGCCAGTTGGCCTGGGCTCTTCGGAACAGTTTCATCATTGAGAGTCCTGCATCCTCGGAAACCTCAGTCCCTGACAAACTGTGACACTGGGTCACACCATGGCAGTTTCAGATGGCCCCGCCTTTCGGCTGCATCCCTCGGTGCTGGTGCACAATGGGTGGGTACTGCCCCCCCAGGATGTGGGGAACAGGGGTTGGGGACACATAGAGGCATCCGTGTCCATTCTGGACATTTCCATCCCAAAGGTCTGGGTCTG